GTGTGTGTGTGTGTGTGTGTGTGTGTGTGTGTGTGTGTGTGTGGGACTGGAAACCAGCTACATGAACAACATCCGCTGGTTTCTGGTCTTCAGAGGAACTCATTGATTCTGTGGATCACTTTTTATCCTGTTTGAAGCTCAGAAGAAAAGACGACAGCAGATTTTAAATTCTTTGTCTTTAAATGTGTCCTGAGAAGAAAAACTAAACATTAAAAATAAATAAAGATTCGTTTTAATCTGTTTACTGGTGACGTGGGCGGTACCCTGGAGAGCCCCGCCCACCTCCCTGACAGACTGTCAGTCACACAGTAACATGACATCGTTCTCTAATCAGTCATTAAAGCTCAGCTGAAGTGTCATTTTATAAAGTCAGGGGTTTAGATGAAAGGGGCGGGGCTTAAATACTGCTCTGCAGCCTGCCACCAGGAGGCGCTTTTCCTCTGGGACTTCAACTTCCTGCTCCTGGGCTGCTCTCTAGTATCCTAAAGAGAGACTCCTGTTCGTTTTTTATTCAGTTCAGTTTATTTATATAACGTCACGTATACGTTGTTTTAATGTTTTTACTCTTTGGCCTCATTTTTCTTTCCACTGAAAACTTTATTGGTGCTTTTAACAAATACAAACAATAACAGAAGAAAAAAACACAAAAACAGATAAATTAATAATTAATAACCTGTTAATATGACTTGACAGTTTCATATGTTGTATGTTTTTGATTTTGTCCTCATTCTGTATTTAAAGTCTAATAGAGCAGAGGTTCTCAAACTGGGGTCCCAGGACTCCTAGAGGTCCATGAGCCATATCTTGGGGGTCCTCAAAAATCTTCAATAAATTGTTAATTAGATTTTTMTWAATGCATATGGGGAACATTGCTCTGTTAAAACAAACACACTAAACCAGGGGTGTCCAAACAACYGCCCACGGGCCAACTGTGGCCCACGGTACCATTTTTATTGGCCCGCAGCAGATTCTGAAAATATAATTGAARATGTCCCGCACAAGAAGCAGTCCATTTATTTCGAGCCTCTAGCTCCGGCTCTGAGCGTCTGACCCGGGCAGCAGAGGGCTTGTTTTAAAGCTCTGGATCTGCGCTAACCTGGTGGTGCCGCGGAGATATAAGCGGTCAAATGTCGGCGGACGAGCTCCGGCGGGTGAAACGGCTGAATTTCAGCACGGGGCTGCTGGTGCTGATGCAGGGGAATAAAAGGAAGAGATCCGGTCAGGTGGAACCGGTCCTGAAAGCTCAGCACCGGGTTTTATACCTGKAGCCAGGTGCAGCCCCTCGTGGGCGATATTTCTGCAGAAACGCCTAAAAATGGATAAAAATCACAAAGTGACCTTATGCCCAGCAGGTGAGTCAGAAATACACACATTATTGATGTATCAATACGTCACTTAGTGTGTGGCCCGGCCCTTTGTTGATGTTTCTGTATTTGGTTCAACAGGGTTTATAAGGGGGTCCTTGGATATTTTTCACCCTTGTAAGGGGTCCCCAGTCTCCACACATTTGAGGACCTTAGAGGGCGTCTCTTGTAGCCTCAGCAGTTTTTCCATCCAACATATTTCTTCTGTCGTTGTTGAGCTCTTGTTGGTTTTTTCTCCCAGGAGGACCAGTAGGACTGGTACCAGCAGGACCAGTCATCAGGAGTGGTCGTGGTTCTTTCTGAACATCTAGTTCCTGCAGCTCGTTGGTATCACGTCCAACAGATGTGTGATGTTCACACTGATCCTGATGATTGTTTGTGTTTTGATTGTGGTGTGACAGCTTGGTGAACCAGTTGATGAACGGTTCTTCCTCCTTCTTCACCTCATGTTTGGTTCAGTGTTCCCTGTGTTTAATCCCTGATATAAACTGAGATAATCTGGATGATGTCATTGTTCGACTCATTTTGAAGTGTTTGAAGACAGCAGAGCTGTCAGCAGTCAGTGGTTCAGCTGGAACACTGTGAAGAGGAAGAGGAGAGGATGAAGAACAGGAAGTGTGTTCCTTTAATCATTAATGTTTGCTGTGAAGGTTTCAGCTCGTCTCTGTTAATCTTTCAAGACTTTATGGCTCTGCAGCTTCTCTTTATAACCGGGCGGGACCTGCGTCTTATCGGACCGGGTTTAAGGGTCTGTTRGGTGCCGTTGCTATGGTTACCGGCGTCGTAAACAGATGATTGTCAGCAGCTGTGGTCCYAGCTGCCTGACCCGACAGGAACCATCAGCCGGATCAGTTCTCAGAGTCCACCTTTGGTGTTTAGTCAGGAAAATGTCCCATTTACTAACATGAAGGGGCGGGGCTTAATGTTGGACTGGAACCAATCAGCAGGGGGGCGCTGGTCCACGATGACCACAGTCTCAGGTCTGGGCTCAGGTCTGGTCTCAGGTCTGGGCTCAGGTCTGGTTTCAGGTGAGACTCAGATCTGTGGCTCCGCCTCCTGATTAAACATTACCCACCTGGTCCAGGGGGTCAGGATGGGTGTGTCCTCACACAGGGTTCTGAGTCCAAACACCTGCAGACTGTTGGCTTACAGAACCGGGCCGGCCTCGAGG